CCAGGCCTTGCTGGGGACTTTCTGCCTGGGATGTCATGAGAGACCTTGTCACTCTTAACTCTGTGGGTTGGCAAAGCCCCAATGCCAGCTGTCAAGATTATTGTCCAGATTTTGCCACTCTACCCCAAACTCCAAACCTTTGTGGCTTTGTGTGCAGAACAAAGTCCTGCACTCCTGTCCCATCCTTGTAGTCTCTGCTGGGCTTGAGCCCACTGTTACAATCACTGTCACTCCATCTTTTTGAGGGTCTACCTGTCATTCTCTTTGGGATTTTCAGCAAATTTATGCTCTTTTTTTGTGCCTTAGTTTATAAACTGTAACTGTGTAAAATAAGACTCATTTTAGATAATATTGCTTTAGAGTTTTGCACAAAAAAGCCTCATTGCCATGGAGTCAAAATCAATTCATAGCTTACCCTCTAGTGGGTTTTTGGCGACTGTAAATTGTATGGAATAAATTGCCATCTTTCTCCAGCAGAACCACTGGTCAAGTCAAACTACTAGCTAAGTGCCACCTTTTAGTTAGCAGTCAACTCCTTACCAACTATGTCAGAAATGTCTGACAGTAAGTAACACATCTGACAAGAGTCACATCTCTAGATTGTAGAAATCTCTCAATACTGCAACAAGAAAAAGACAGTTACAAAATAGGCAGGCTACGTACATAGACACTTCACCACAGAAGACATTCAGAGGAATGTTAACAAACATATTAAGATCAATAATAGCTCAAGATCACGAGTTAGTAAAATTCAGTTTGGTTGAGTTGGCACCAATTCATTGCTGACCTTCTCATGGGTTTCCATAGCTGTAAACAGAGGAAATTGCTCATCTTTCTCCCACAATACTGCTATAGATCTGAACTTCAGGAGAGATGTGGTTTATGAGTTAACAGCACAGCTCTCTGTGGATTATGCCTACCCCCATTAGCTGCTGGAAACAAATGAAACAGCAAAAAGAGCAGTGCTTACAATACAACAGCAAACAACTACTCCTGATGAAGGTGTGGAAAGATTGGCACTCTCACTTCTGTGGGAGTGTTAAATGGTGCAACCACTCTGGAAAGCAGTTTGGGACTTCCTTAGAAAGTTGGGCATAGAAAAAAAAAATTAAACTAGAAATCCCACTGTTGTTGTTATGGACCATTTGAGTGGAAACTGATTCATCATTGAATCCCCTCAGCAGGTTTCCAGAGGTTGTAAATCTTAGAATTGCCCATTTTTTTGCAGAGCAGTTGGTGGATTTGATTCACCTTTGGGTTGGCAGCACAACGTCTTTACCACTGTGCCACAAGAGCACCTTAGCTATCCCACTAGTAAGTGTGTATACCTCATAAATAAGACCTGTCACACTAACTGAGGTATACGCACTCATGTTCATTGCCACATTGTTAACAGTAGTAAAGAGTTAAATACAACCCAGATGTCTTCAGAAGATTAATAGCCAAAGAAACTATGGTATATTCACACAGTGGAGAATTTTACGTTACTGTTAACAATTTGTTGTGATCCACACAGTCAAATGCCTCTGCATAGTCCATGAAACACAGATTGACATTCCTGTGGTACTCTGCTTTTGACCAAGATCCAACTGACATTCACAGTGATGTCCCTAGCGCCACAGCCTTTTCTAAATCTGGCTTGTATTTCTTGTAGTTTTCTGTCGATGTTCTAGTTGTGCTTAGATGATCTTCAGCAGGATTTTGCTTGTCTGTGCTACTAGTGATATAATTTGATAATTTTTGCACTCTTATTTGGGTTACTTTTTTATGGGACAGGGATAAATATAGATCTCTTTCAGTCAGTTGACCAGGTGATTGTCCTCCAGGTTTCTTGGCACAGCTTGTTGAGTTCTTCCCGGGCTGTATCTGTTTGTTGAAATATATAAATTAGTATTCCTTCAATTCCTGGGGCCTAGATTTTTTTGCTGGTTCCTTCATAGTACCTTGAACTTCCTCCTTCCTCATAGTTGCCTTATGAACATAAGTTGATTCATTAAATTCTTCTGTTAGGCAATTCTTTCTGCTACAGTGACTCTGTCAGACTGTTTCATTGAGGATTATCCTTTCTCTGCCCCTCTACTTTTCCCAGCAAGTTCCCAGCTTGCTTCACGGAGAAGTATGGGAAATTTCTTCCTGTGCAATTAATTGCCTCTGAAAACCCACTAGAGGGTCAGCTGTGGATTGGTTCTGACTCTACGGTATACAACAACAACAACAACCCCTCTTATAGCTTGCCCAAAGCACATGAGACTAAGTTTCACTATCCTTGTCTCTCCACAGAACACTCTCGCTACCCTTCCCCCAAGACAGTATTGTTTGTTCATTTTTTTCAGTCCTTGGTATATTCAGTACTCTTTGCCAGCACCACAATTCAAAGGCGTTGATTCTTCTGTTATCTTCCTTATTCATTATTCAACTTTCAGATGCATAGGATACGGTTAAAAATACCATGATTTGTCTCAGGCGTACCTTGGTCAGCTTCACTCCAGCATTTTGGAGAAGACCTTGACTGCAGATTTTCCCAGTGTAACATGTCTTTTGATTTCTTGACTGCTGCTACCATGGGTTTTGAGTTCAAAAATGAAATTATTAATGACTTCAGTCTTTTTTCCTTCTGTTATGATATTGCCTCTTGGCCCAGTGGGGAGGATTCTTTCCCTTGGTGTTGAGATGTATTTCATATGGAAGTCAATTAATCTTCTTTGGTAAATGTTTTAAATCTTCTTCACTTTCTTCAAGCAAGGTTCTGTTATCTAGTTTGTTATATTCATTCCATAAAATCAGTTTTCACTTATTTAAGAAGACTGAGCAAATATTACAGAGATAAAATATTCAGTGAATTATTTTTCTTCTATAGAAGGAAAGGGATACATATAGATAAGAATTCTCTTTTTCTTTAAAAAAATATCTCAAAATTGGCTTTTGAGAATATTTACAATGATACCTTGACTTTTTTATTAAAGATTAGGTATGTGATTACCAGATTAGTCATAGGTTGTAGTGCACATAACTAAAACCTATCAGTATAATTTAATGTGAAATGTTAAGTCTACTTTTTGTAGATTGACATAGAAATAAAGTATCTCATTTTCAAAGCACAAAGTCTCATTGTATTTTGAGAATTGTCATCACCTGGCAATGTGTAAGTGTCTTTTAAAATTTTAACTTCCTTTGAAGTAAGAGAATGCCTGCAACTCAAGGAGTAGGGCAAATATTAGCTATGTGTGGTCTCTGAACCCCTGGAGAGATCTTGAATATCTCTTCAGGGGGTTCCTGATGTCAAAACTATTTGCATTTTCTGATGGGTTGACATTTGTAATTACATGATGTAAAAGCAATTCTGAGTGAAAACTGCTTTTGCTTTAGCTTGTGTAAATTGAGGAGCCCTTGATTAAGACAGTGATTAAAGCTTCTCATGCTAACCAACAGGGTGGTTAAAATTCACCCAGCAGCTTCTCTGAAAAAAGGCTTAATGATCTGCTTCCATTAAGGTTACAGCCAAGAAAACACTATGGGTAGTTCTGCTCAGTCAGTTGAAGTCACTGTGAGTTGAGATCTACTTGATAGCTCCCAACAATAACAGGACCAAACTGTGTAAGTAGTTACTGGTCCCTTCACCATTAGATACTTGAAATAAAATCATATTCTGTGTCACTTAATGTCTACGAAAGCAGAAAAAAGCCCCAAACTTGTCGTATTCTGTGAGATGAAATGGGGTATATGCATAAAACACTTTTACAGCATACAAAAGTCTGTTTTTTTTTCTTTTGAAGAAAGACACTTGTGCATTTGTTTAAGTTGTGAGCTTTTGTAGATACTTTTTTCATGGATTCTCATTTTTATTTAAAAGAACTAACAGAAAAGCAGATTTTTTTAAAAAACACCAAAAAAACCCCTTGGGTGTTTGGTAGATGTTTCCTCACAAATGAATGAAATTATCTCTTTAAGGAAAACAACTGACAACATTTTTTCCTCTGCTAATCAAATTCAGACTTTTAGTTAAAAATGAAAATCTTTGAAAATATTTTACTATCACTTTGAGCTTAAGATCATCTCAATACTAAAATACTTTTTAATCACATTGGTGGTGATAGTAATGATATTTTGTGGTGATAGTAATGATATTTTGAAGTAGTACAATGAAATGTGCCAGCATTTGGAAGATATACATAACTCAGTTACCGAATTTTTTGCAAATAACCGTGTGTGATAACATCTTACATGGATTTTAATATAACACAACAGTTCATTGATAGTTTAAGATTTTACATGACAACTGACCTTAACCAACAGTCACTTCTTTTGGTGTATTATCAAAAAATACTTTTAGTTATCTGAAAAGGTTTTTTAAATGCTTCTTTGTTATACTTCTATGTGTATATATGAGGTTGGATTTTCTTCATTTATTCAACCTAATACTGCAGAAAAGATTGATATAGAAGCAGATATGAGAATTCACTTATTTTCTCTTAATTCACGTGTTGTAGAGATTTGTAAAAGTACAATAATGTGCTTAAAGTAGATTTTGTAGTTACCAAACGCTTTTTATTCTTGTCATTTTATTTTTAATATTCTTCTAAACCTTTATTTTCATTTTGTGTATTTAAAATACATCAGAAGGATGAATGAAACAAAATATTCTTTTCAAAGCTTTGTAGGTCTTGAGGCACATTCGTTTCCCTTGATTAACTGTTTGTGGGGTTTTTTTGTGTTTGTGTTTGCTTTATTTTAACAAACTCAAAAAGGTGTATGAAAGCTGAAGAAGATACAATCTGTGGAATATTCTGGTATCGTTGATACATAAGACAGATATTTCATAATTCTGGTAAAGGAATACATTTTATTTAAAAAATTTAGTAAATGCGGTTCATTTCCATTTTTTAAATTAATGTAGAAATTAATTATAATTCAGTCTTGCATGCCAGTAAGTACTTTTTATCATATAAGATATACTGATTACAGAATCGATTAGTTTTCTGATATTCTTTTTTTCCTGTAAGCAGATAATCTCAGTGATACCTTGAAGAAGCTGAAGATAACAGTTGTAGACAAGACTGAGGACAGTTTAGAAGGATGCTTGGATTGCCTGCTTCAAGCCTTGGCTCAAAATAGTAAGTTCTGCTATGTTTACTCAAATATCAAACACAAGACTCAAATGAACAGTCATTCAGAAATTGGTAGTTTAGCACATAACTTGAATTCTTTTCATTTCTTCCTCTGAATGCTGTGATTGTTTTATATATTTTGCTTTCTCAGGCTCTGTACTCTCTTCTGCCATATATTATCTTCTCTACCACCGCCATCATTCCATACCCCACTACCCCAAGATACAGAGAGCCTCACTGATAGGCTTACTGATTGGTGGTGATGACATTAATATCGATGCCAGAGGAGGTCATTTTTTCATTCTAAGCATCATAGTTGTTATTCTTAAAACTTAACATTGAATGAGACAATGTGTGTATGAATGGGAAGGGGAGAAAAGAAAAGAGAGGGAGAGCATAACATACTTAATTTTTATCTGAGATCTTATGGTAACATTTGCTGTAACGTTAAAATAATATGTATATGAAAGAACCATCATCAGTCAGTTTAAAAAAAATCCATTAAAATTGAGGTAAGACTTGGTCTTTGGTGTTTTGATAAACAGGTACTATGTAGAGAAATGATATTGCCAGCCTTTAGGTTGTTGCATTTAATATCTCATTTTTTATTCACTAATTTCTATATTACCACAACAAAAAGATAGGTACCAAATTTTCTTCATTTGTTCTCTTAATTCTTCTTTTTGATGCTGTGGTTTGTCCTGTATTTGTAATTAGTTGTACCATTGTCTTACCCTGAGACTAATTAAGAAATTGATATAGACTTTAGGGGAAGTGTATACATTAAGGTTATAATTTTAAGCACTAACAAGTGTTTCTGTGTTATCTCTCACATTCTTTTCTTTTTTAAAGTAAACTGATTTAAATATTTTAAATACTCGATTACAGTACTTGTCATCAAAAAAGTACATTTTGAAGCCAGCATTTAGAATTCTTTTTCATAATTATTTTTTATTTTAATTATATCAAGCAATTTAATCTTAGAGGTTGCATAGAAGCAGTTTGAAACAAGTTCACTGAGAATGGCAGGAAGACTCATGACAGTAAGGAAAGAGAATGACAGAAAAGAAGGATGACTAAGGCTGTACTCATGAATGTCAAAGGAGGAACATGTGCCCATGTGGCTGTTGAGTGCCACAGTCTTCCTTTTCATTCTCAAATATGTTTTGCCAACTACCTTATGCAAAAGACAGAGACTAACAACAACAACAAAAAGTTCATGATTACAGGTTCTTTGTGAATAGCACTGAGCTAGTAACAAATCTTAGCCGCATACAAAGACCCTTAGCCAGGTGGACTGTGATTACAGCAATGTGCCTAAGCATGGTGGAGATTGTGAAGATGGAGCAGGATAGGACAGAATTGCAATCTGTTGTTCATAGAGTTGCTATGAATTGCGAGTCAATGTCATGGTGCTTTGTTGTTGTTATGTGTCATTGAGTCGCTTGCATCCTACCAGTTCTGAACCCTGCTCCATCCTGAGCCAGTCTCACTAATTCTGACACATCAACCCCCAATGCCCCAGTTACTAAATCAATTCATCCCATCCGAGGTCTTCCTCTCCTGGGCTGTCCCTTTGCCCTTGCAAGCATGATGTACTTCTCTTAGGACCCGTCCCTCCTGGCTACATGCCCAAAGTATGTGAGAGAGAGCTTCAGAATCCTAGCCTCCAAGAAGAGACTTTTACCCTCTCCAAGAGAGACCTATTTGTTTTCTTGGTGGTCCATGGTATATTCAGGACTCTTTTCCAGCACCACAATTTGAAGGCATCAGTTCTTCTGTCATCCTTAGTTATTGTCCAGCTCTCTGATGCATAGTCAGTGATTGTGAAGACCATGGCCTAGATTAGGTGTACCTTAGTACCATGGTACTTTAAAGATTAGAAAGAACAACAGAATAACCTGGCTTTTATAGTGTCTCAGTGGGCCACTTTACATAATAATGCAGTTTATTTGTTGAATAACTTAATTTTTATTTTTGTTAAGTGTCTCTAATTTCAGCTGTCTCTTTTTTCTCCTTTATGTTACGAAAAAAGTAGAGAATTTCTATATAGACCATTTTCTTCATCCAAAAGGCATTGAGTATGTTTCTTTTCCTGAAAAGACTGGAAGACAGGTGAAAATGATGAAGAAAAGTAAAGAAAGAAGGAAACAAAAGATCATAGCTTTTTAAAGAGTAGATTGAAGAAATATTAGGAATTATAATGTTAGATTACATTTAAGACCCATTATGGAATTATTCCTTAAACATATATATTGAGATGATCTTGAAATTGTGTATTAGAAAATGTGTTGTTTTGTGTTTTGGTTTTTTTTTTTTTAAGTTACGGTCCAGTAGGCATGTGATAGAGAACATTACCTTTTAGGCTGTTAACCAAAAAGTTGTAGTTGTTATGTTCAGTTTAGTTGGAACCTACACATAGCTGACCCTCCAGTGAGTTTTCAGAGGTAGTCAGTCACACTAGCGGAGTTTGCCCATCTTTGTCCCATGGAGCAGCTGATGTTTTTGAACTGCAAGCTGTTGGATTAGCAATGCAACTCCTTGCCACTAAGCCACAAGAGCGAGTTGAATTTACAGTTTCTTCTTGGTAGAAAGATAGAGGCAGTCTCCTCCTGTAAAGATTTGTAGCCTTAGAAATCTGATAGAGGGTTTTTGTGAATTGACTTGACAACAGTGGGTTTGGATGCCAAAACAGTAAACTATCAATCTAACTAATAACCACTTAATGAAGGAAACAACAGAAAGATTACACACCTTCTTCTGTTCTTTTAAAGAAATGGCTTAACAAGACAGTTCTCCAGGAGAGGATAAAAGAAATATATCTTGTAAGAAATTGTAATACAATTCATCAATGTCCTCATGTCTAAGACTATAGACACAAGAGAATTTTACCTAGGAGTGTGGTAGCTTCCAAGTGGCTTTTGTAATAAACTGTCACAAAAGGGATGGATTAGGAAATAGATTTATTGTGTCAAAGTACTGTTGTAGGTGCTGTCTATAAATTCTAGCAACCCTGTGAACAACAGATCTGAGCCCTCTCCTACCATCCTGAGAATCTGACACATTTGAGCCCATTGCTACAGTCACAGTGTCAGTCCACCTGGTTGAGGGTGCCTGCCTCACTACTGGTGTCTGGTGGTTGCCAGAAGTCATCAGTGCTCTTTGGTTTGTACATCTCCATCTCTGCCTCTGCGATTATGTGCCTTTCTTCCCTGTGATTCCTCTGTATCTCTAAAAAGGATCCAGTGATTTAGAGTCCAGTCTAATAAGGAGTCTTGGTGGCTTTGTACATTGTATGTTGGGCAGGTAACTGAAAGTTGGCAGTTCAAATTCCCCACCTGCTGCAATTAAGAAAGATGAGTTATCTCCTCTAAGGTGCTAGAAGTTTGACTTAACTTGACACCATTGTGTTTCTGATCCAGTAGGATCTCATCTTAACTTTTTTACATCTCAAAGATTATGTTTCTACAGAGGATGACATTCACTGGAATTAGTACTCTTATGATTTAGAGGAGGACACAATTCAACCCCATTTGGAGAGTCTTTGCAGATATGCAGTCTTTCTTTCCTTTAGGAATAATACTGATCATTGATTGAGTGCCAGTTATATAGCACTGGCCTGGGAACTATATCTTTATCCAATTTAATCATTCAGTAGCCCCATTGCTGTTGTTATGTGTGATTGAGTTGACTGGGACACATAGCAACCCTATCCACAATAGCTCAGTGCATAGTAACTCTGAACCACACCTTATCCTGAGCCAATCTCAGTCTCTGACACATCTTCTCCCATTAACGCAGTTACTGTGTCAATCCATCTCATTTAGAGTCTTCCTCTCCTGTACTGTTCCTCTTCTTTTCCAAGCATGATGTCCTTCTTCCAGGACTGATCCATTCTGGCAACATCCCCAAAGTATGTGAAATGGCAAAATCCTTGCCTTCAAGGAGCAACTTGAGATCATCCTTTCCAGTACAGATCTGTTCTCTTGGCACAGTTTTGTTCATGGTATGTTCAATACTCTTTGGTAGCACCACAACTCAAAGGCATAGATTCCTCTTCTGTCATCCTTAGTCATTTTCCAGCTCTCTGCATAGCAAGTAATTATGAAGGCGATGGCCAGGATAAGGCCACTTTAGTCTCTAGACTGACATTGTTGTTCTTCAGCACTCTGGAGTGGTCTCTGGCAGTAGATTTCCTAATGCAGTTTGTCTTTTGATTTTTCTGACTGCTGATGCCAAGAGTGTTGATTGTGGAACTTAACAAGCTGAAATTGGTAACAATCTCAGTCTATTTTCCATCTCTCATGGTGCTAACAGTTGACCCAGTGGTGAAAATATTTGTATTCTTGATGTTGATCCATTCTGCATAGAGATTGAAAAGGTATGGGAAAAGGATGCATTCCTGACACACTCTTGATTTTGAACCATGCATTGCTTCCTTGCTCTGTTCTGATGGCTGCTTCCTGATCTGAAGCAAGTTTTCTTTCACTGAGTACCATCAGGTGTTCTGGGATTCCCATTCTCCTCAAAGTTAGCCACAGTGTTTTGTGGTCTGTACAGTAAAATGCCTTTGCTAGTCAGTGAAACACGGATAGATGTTCTTCTGGTACTCTCTGCTTTCAGCCAAGATCTATCCAGCATTGGCAATGATGCATTATTAGCCACAGAAAGGACATAGAAGTAGCACCAGTGAAGTGGCTTTCCTTGTTCTGGTAGAGTCCATAGTCTATATTTGAATTCTCAGTTGTTGTTACTGTTGTTATGTGCGACTCATAGTGACCCTATGTACAACAGACCTAAACTCTGCTCTGTCCTGTGCCAATCGCACCGTCTCTGACACTCCCATCCCAATTATCCCAGTCACTGAATCAATCCACCTCATAGAGGGCCTTCCTCTCCTGTGCTGTCCCTCCACCCTACCGCGCATGATGTCCCTCTCCAAGGACCAGTCCCTCCTTACAACATGTCCAACGTATGTTAGATGAAGCCTCAGAATCCTTGCCTCC